AATGTCTGGAGTGGAATGCGGTATTATTTTTTTATTATTTCATTTTTATCATCTTCTCTAAATCCAAATTCGAGATTATGACATGGGATAAACATATTTTAACCAGATACAGTTTGTCCATTACAATATGCTAACATGTGGGTGTGTCCTGCCAACATACTGTAAATTTTGAAATGAATGTTAACTATTAAAAAAAAAATTGAAATGAGGCTGAAGGATAAAAACTATTGTTAGGCTGGTCTTTGAAATAGCATGTACAAATGCACCAAATGAATGGGAATCTCACGAATTTATTATCAGGCTGTTGGAAATCAATTTCTATCAGAATATTGAATTCAATTGGGTCTGTTTGCAACAAAAATTTCTCAATTAAATTGATTTTTTTTTTTTTTTTTTTTCATATTGTAACCTTGTCCCGTTTATCTCTTTCTTTGCTTCTTCAAAAAAGTCCTTAAAAACTTCATTGCCAATAGTCCACAGAAAGTGAAAACCACACAACCAACAGGACGCGAGATCAACATCTCATTACATCATACCAGATTTTGATTAAAAAAAAAAAAAAACTCTAAACTCAAACACAATAAATAACATCGGTCGAGATGAATCTATTAATTCATATTTTTTCAAGCATAAATTATAATTTTGAGATTTTCCTTTTCCTATCTAAAAGCGTAGATCCTTCTACCTCTTTTTCAAAATTATGGTGGTTATTTGGAGCTTCAAAAGAAAAAGGATATTAAGGAATTTTTTTCTCCTAAAATATTATAATTTGATAATTTAGGATTTAAAGTATTAAATTGTATAATTTGAACTCTAAAATGTTAAAAATTAAATAAATATAATTCAAATTTTTAAATGTCGTTATTTCTAATTGTCAATTATAGTTGACCGTTGTTTAATTTTTTTTTTAATTGAATTCGAGAGCAAAGACATGGAATTTGGGACAAGGTTTAGTGAAGAAGATAAAATGAGCAAAGGAAAAGGACTCCCTTTTTCTTCATACTCATCTTCTAATTCATCTTTTCTTCACAGCCAAAAAGCCAACTTGCAGTCCCTTTAGGCCAAATCTATGAGATAATGGGTTCTTGGCTAGGCAACAAGTATGACCAAGAAGATCAAGATACATCAAGATTTAATGAGAGTGGAGTTGTGACAGCCGCGAAACTAGTAGGAGCACCTGTTTGATAATTTTGTAACTCCAAGTGATGTAGGAAAAGCTAATTCGTCTGGTGATCCCAAAACAGCACGCAGAGAAGTACTTTCCTTTAGATTCATCATCGAATTGGGAAGGGGCTCTTATTGAATTTTGAGGATAGTAATGGTAAAGCAAAGACTAACTTTGCAGAGTTAACAATCCAAGGATAAAAAACATATTGTTCTTGGCTTTAATTAAAAAAATAAAAATAAAAATTAAGTAACAGTTAATTGATAATTAATCGTTAAAAATAATAAAAGTTAGATAATTTGAATTATACTTGTTCAATTCTCAATATTTTAGAATTCAGATTATATAATTTAATATTTTTATTTTGAAATTATCGAATTATACTATTTTAAAGACAAAAAATGCCGTGATACCAAAAGAAAAGAAAAAGAGAGAATTGTTGTCAAACTGTTGTGTTTTTTAGTCAGGAAAGAAAAGAATCAATAAATCTGTGAAAGATGAAGTTTGCGTGTTAATTTCATAGTTTATGAGTGTTTTTTAATAATTATTATCACTCAATTTTTTAAGCGATATCCAGTAGCAAATCAGAAGATATCTCGTCTGATTTATTTTTATACAAATTTAAAAAATAGAATTCCATTCGGAATTCAAAAAAACATTCTAAACAGCATAAATATGATTTAAATTTCTGAATTTAATTTGAAGGGTTCCAAACAGACTGTATGTGAAGCTCTATTTTCACGCTTGATATGTCATGCTCCGCATGGTCCTAGCATAGGCAATTAAAGCACAGGGCACACGTCTCGTGTGTAATTAAAGCATATGTCATTGATTAACACAAATTAAAACATCAAACCCAAATTTCTAATACCTTTGATGTATCTATTGTGATTCCATTAATAAGATTGACTGTAACAATTCATCTCGAAATGAATAATATCATTCAATGAGAGATCTAATGATGATGAGATTTTTATACCTAGTTGCGTAAATCTATTTTTAAAATCTATATATATATATATTTTTTACATGTGCCATTTTAATAAATTTTTTATTTTGAAATAAGTTATTCATTTCCGTTTTGATCAATGATTCAATCAATTGCATTATTTTTTTTTGAAATAATTATCTGAATTCCTTTTTTATACATATATATATTTTTTTATAATATGATATAAAAAATTGATATTATAATCGAAACCTATCATTTTTTTAACATCAATTTGAACACCTTGATATAATTTAAAATCCACATGATTGTACTTGTTTTGTAAAAAAATATGAAACAAAAATTGATCTATTTTTAAAAACCATTATTCAGAGGAAGCATATATTTAACTGTACTTATTAATTTAAAATCGACAAAATTCAACACTATATTTTTATATAGTTAGTTTCACGTATGGTACCCTATTTTTTTAATTAAAATATTAAGAATCATTCAAAAAAAAAAAAAAAAAAAAAACAACGGGAGACCACGTTAACCCTAAAATGTAAAAAACAAAGTATTTGAAGTATGAATAAGTGAAGTAATGTTTTAGAAATAGAAATCTCACTTTGGTAAATTTAATTTTAAGTAAATGGTTTTAAACAGACGGTGATTAATGTGCTTTGTTGTCCGAAATAATAAATGATTAAAAACTTCTTTTAATACTCTTTACAGATGCTCCGTGGACACTCGTTAGTTTTATCCAAAAAGAAAAAAGAAAAAAGAAGAAGCTTATTTGCACTTTATAGACACCAATAAACAATTTATATCTTTAGGATCCTGCATTGTAGTACTTTACAACCGAACAAGTAAGGTACAAAGCATTAAACTGGTGAGCCCCACTAATCTAACGGCAACCATTAAAAATCAGGGGCAACGACGATGTCAAATAATTCTGTCACTGTTTTATTGATTAAATTATAAATTAGTCCCTCATGTTTCGAGAAGTGAAATAATTAATCTTTATTATTTTCAAAACTGATTATTTAGTTGTTTATTTTTTAATTCCGTAAATAACTTAACTTTTTGGTTAGTTTTATTTTAAAATGGTGATGAGATGTCTTATTATAGTGTTGCTTGCTTCAAATTACCGTTCTTTAAATATTATTTTTTTCCTTCGTGCACATTGTCTTTATTTTTCTCTCCTTGAGCACTAAAATAAATTTTATTTTTCTCTTGAAATCTTCTCTCCTCAAATCTCTACTTTTTATTTTATTAATTTTTATTTTTTCTCTCTTTAAATATCAAAACATATTTTTATAGATGAAATATATGTTAAAAAGTATTTTAGATATTAGGTGTTGATCCGATAGACTTGACAAAAATTTAATGAGAAGAGATTAAATAGTTATTTTTTAAAATAAAAAGGACTAATAATTCCTTTCCCAAAATGTAAGGATTAATTTATAATATACTCCTGTTTTATGACCATCATCCATGACCGACAGGACAACCTCCCTTCTCTCCATCCCTAAAAAGCGAAGGAAATGGCCCCACCAGTCCATGCCGTGGTCCTCCACTTTAAAATAATCAATCAAACCGCTACCTTTTTTACTATTTTTTTTTGTTATTTTTCATTTTTTATCCCTTCTCTCTTTTCTTATGGAACCTTGATGTTGACGAGATAATCTCAGTCTTGATTCTCTCACTTTACAGCTCGCAGCTAACCCCCAAAAGAGTTTGTAGCCATCAGTAGATTATCTGTGGAGAGGATATAGATTTAAACCCTAACAAATTATTTTGATAGAAGCTTTAGGTGTGTAAGATTAAAAAAAAAAAAAAAAAGAACTTTCAGCTAGCCGCACAGAACGAAGCCGTTTTGTTTGGCAAACGGCCAGACGCCTATGGAATGACATCTTTAATGTGCTTTCTTTTTCTAAAGAGGGAAGTCTTTGAATTCCATCGATAAAAAGCAATTGTAGATTCGGAATTACATGACGCAAATTTAAATTGGAAAAACTATATAATAAATATATTGATTTTGATTTTTTTCAACTAAATACATAAATTTTTATTTTTTATTTTAGTATATCAATCTTTTAAAAAATAATGATTAAGTTTTTTTATCTAATTTTTTATTTAATGATGATGTGATAATTAATAAAAAAATTAAAAACGACTATGTTATCTTTTGTTTCTCCTCTTGAATTATTATTGTTATTTAATTATTAATTAAAAAAGATAGCAAAGCTGCTGATCTGTTTTTTTTAATAAATAATTAAATAATAATAACAATTTGAAAAGAGAATAAAAAATAACAATATAGGCATTTAGTTTTCTCATTAACTATTAAAACATCATTAAATAAAAATTAGATCAAAAAAATCAATTAATATTTTTTAAAAAATTAATATATAAAAATAAAAAAATAAAAATTAATATATTTGATTGAGAAAAAAATTTAAAATTAATATAGGTAGTTTTTCCGATTAAAATTACATCTATCGATGTCATAAAAGTACTACAATTTTTTTCGTGATTGCTGTAATTTGAGGATGGATAATTTATTCTAAATGATTCTTTTCAAATTAAACCATGAAGTTGCATTTAATTTTATTGTTATGCAAGCACCATGATCTATTTGTTTTGAAAATATTATTGATTATTAAAATAAAAATAGCACAACTTCGATGAAGTATAATTTTTATTAAACAAACAACTATGATCTAACCGTTAGACAAAGATAAAAATAATTCCTTAAAAAATTAAACTTGGTTTAATTTAAGACAATAATTTTTTTTAAAAAAAAAAAGCGAAAAAAACGACGATAATCTCTTTATTCTCTCTCTTATATATCCCCCATGTCAGTCCGTCACGATTACCCACTTCACTTCACACTCAACTTCCATGGCTCGATTTCCGTCCCCTTCCGCCCCCTTCCTCTTCCTCCTCTTTTCCCTCCTCCCTCTCCTTTCCCTGTCCACCGTTGATCAACCCTACAAAACCTACATCATCCGCATTGACTCTCAATCTAAGCCCTCCATTTTCCCCACTCACTACCACTGGTACACCGCTGAATTCACCAACCCCCTCAAATCCTCCACACTTACGACACCGTTTTCCATGGCTTCTCTGCCACACTAAGACCAGACCACGCTGCTACTCTTAGTCAACACCCATCAGTTCTCGCCGTTATTGAAGACCAGCGGCAACAACTCCACACCACTCGGTCCCCTCAGTTTCTTGGACTCAGAAACCAACGTGGGCTCTGGTCGGAATCTGATTATGGTTCTGATGTTATCATTGGCGTTTTGGATACCGGGATCTGGCCTGAAAGACGGAGCTTCTCGGATGCCAATCTTGGACCGGTTCCTGCCCGGTGGAAAGGAATTTGTGAAGTTGGTGAAAGATTTACAGCAAGAAACTGCAACAAGAAGTTGATCGGTGCCCGGTTTTTTATCAAAGGACATGAGGCAGCAAGCGGGGGTGTGGGACCGATTACCCCTATTAATGAAACCGTGGAGTTTAAATCTCCGCGTGATGCCGATGGTCATGGGACTCACACGGCATCGACTGCGGCAGGGAGGCATGCGTTTGGTGCTAGTATGGAAGGGTATGCAGCAGGGATTGCGAAAGGGGTAGCGCCGAAAGCACGTTTAGCTGTGTATAAAGTTTGTTGGAAGAATGCCGGATGCTTTGATTCTGATATTTTAGCTGCTTTTGATGCTGCTGTTAAAGATGGAGTCGATGTCATCTCGATTTCCATTGGTGGTGGTGATGGGATTTCAGCACCTTATTATCTTGATCCGATTGCCATTGGTGCTTATGGTGCGTCTTCTAGAGGCGTTTTTGTTTCGTCGTCAGCTGGGAACGATGGGCCTAATTTGATGTCAGTTACGAATCTTGCTCCTTGGATTGTTACAGTTGGTGCTGGAACAATTGACAGGAATTTCCCTGCTGATGTTGCTCTTGGTAATGGGAAGAAATTATCTGGCGTTTCGCTATATGCTGGTTCGCCATTGAGCGGTAAAATGTATCCTCTGGTTTATCCGGGGAAATCAGGAGTTTTGTCGGCCTCATTATGTATGGAAAATTCTTTGGATCCTATTACGGTGAGGGGGAAAATTGTTGTTTGCGATCGCGGAAGTAGTGCAAGAGTGGCTAAAGGGTTGGTTGTTAAGAAAGCTGGAGGTGTTGGTATGATTCTTGCTAATGGAATTTCTAATGGTGAAGGATTGGTTGGTGATGCTCATTTAATTCCTACTTGTGCTCTTGGTTCTGATGAGGGTGATGCAGTTAAGGCTTATGTTTCATCAACTTCGAATCCGGTCGCTACTATTTCTTTCAAGGGAACTGTGGTTGGAATCAAACCAGCTCCTGTTGTTGCTTCGTTTTCTGGTAGAGGGCCAAATGGATTGAGCCCGGAGATTCTTAAGCCGGATTTGATTGCTCCTGGTGTGAACATTCTTGCTGCTTGGACTGATGCTGTTGGTCCTACCGGATTGGATTCAGATACACGAAAAACTGAATTCAACATTCTCTCTGGCACTTCAATGGCATGTCCTCATGTAAGTGGCGCCGCAGCCTTGCTCAAATCTGCTCACCCAGATTGGAGTCCAGCAGCGATTAGGTCTGCAATGATGACCACCGCGAATACATTCAATAATCTAAACCAGCCAATGACTGATGAGGCCACTGGAAACTCGTCGTCACCATATGATTTGGGTGCAGGGCATCTCACTCTTGATCGAGCAATGGATCCAGGGCTTGTTTATGATATCACTAACAATGATTATGTGAACTATTTGTGTGGTATTGGATACGGGCCTAGAGTGATTCAGGTGATCACACGATCACCGGTGAGTTGTCCTGCGAAGAAACCATTGCCAGAAAACCTCAATTACCCGTCAATTGCAGCATTGTTTTCAAGCTCAGCTAAGGGAGCAAAAAGCAAGACATTCATTAGAACAGTCACCAATGTGGGTCAACCAAATGCTGTTTATCGTCTTACAGTCCAAGCTCCAAAAGGGGTTACAGTGACAGTGAAACCTCCAAAATTAGTGTTCACCGAGGCCGTGAAGAAGCGAAGCTTCATCGTTACTATAACTGCCAATACCCGGAATCTGATATTGGACGATTCGGGTGCTCTATTCGGGTCAATTTCGTGGTCCGATGGGAAGCATGTTGTTAGGAGTCCCATTGTGGTGACCCAGATAGATCCCATGTAAACTTGTTACTTTCAATTCGATCATGTGTTTTTGATCGATAAGGTTGGTTGGTAGGTGGTTAAGCTAGTGCTTAAGTAGTAATAGAGGCTGTAAGGTAGCATAAGTGTAGAATTTGTGCTACGCATTAGAGTGTGTTGCTACCCTTCTTTCTGTCGGCTCCCATGTTAGGACTGAGTCCAAGAACTGGTTTTGAGGGGTGGTTGGTGTGAGTTTTATTTTTCCCCTTCTCTCTTTTTTTTTTTTTTTTTTTTTTTGTTAAATTACATCTGTTACCATCTTTTTCTTTCATGTAATGTTTTTTTTGTGTAAACTTGACAAGTTTATATGAGCAATAGTTTGATAGATAATAGTCATATTCTTGGTTTCTTTGCTGTTTTGCCTCAGCTTAGTCATATTTTTTTAGTGTAAAAAAGTTTGAAGAATTGAGGAAAGCAATCAACTGAAAATGCCAGATGCTGTCGACTCCTAAGGTAGACCACCATTGCTTAAAAATCTGTCAATGTGGTGATTTGTGTAGTTTTCTAATGGTTGTCTATCAAATTTCACTAGATTACGGCACTGATATTGGCTTTGTCGAAGCTTTTTCTTAGAGTAACACAAGTCAATAAGTTGTTTAGAAGGGCTATCTGTCTCAATAAATGGTCTGTCTGAAACTTTGAATTTTACCCGTTTCTTCTGTTGACTTCTGCTTTTGGCAACAGGCTAAAAGTTGGTCGACAAAATTGTTGTATGCTTACGCACGTTTGGATTATTAACAGCTGTGAAACAAAAATCTTGTAAGAAAATTATTACTGGCCTACTTTTACAGGGAAATCTACCTACTAGTCTGTTTCACTGCCCTAAATGTGGATTTGACACCTACTTGCAAGTTTATTCCATCTCGAAGGTGGATCATTGTTGAGATTCCAAGTGCTTTAGCTTTATTGCTCTGCCCATGTTCTCTTGGGCAGATCTTCAGGCTTGACTCTTGAAGAACCAGTTTCAACTCTTCTAAACGGAAAAGGATTATCCAGACTTATATTATTTCTTCTTAGCTTTGGTCACGTATTAAACCATGTAGTGTTATGCCCTAGTGCACACGTACATATGTAATATAATTAATTCTAAGTTCTAACAACCACATGGTATGGATTATTAATTATTGGAATCAAATATTTTGTAAACTTAAATAGAACTACTTCCGCCTTTTGAAAATCCTGAAACAGAGGAAAGTAGTGAGTATTGTATTTATTGCAAAGGGAAATTCATGACTCATGAGATTGAATACTATAATATTCCAAGAGCATAAATGTTTTACAGATGACAGCATCCTTCTTTTCTTTTCTTTTCTTCCTTTGCTTCATTTATTTCTCCTTTTTCTTTTTTCCTAGCTCTTTATTACAATGTTCCCAGTTCCTACTTTGAAGAATTCACACATACACCAAGCACTCTTTAATGAAAGTAAAATGTTCCGATTTTCGTTGACCAGGTAACACACCATACTGATAGTTTTTGTAATTTAGAACCCTTAATCCCTTGCTTCAAAAGGGAAAAAATTAAGAGGCAAAAGAAGAATACAGAAAAGAGTCTATAACCTTTATCTTTTTTGGAAGTGTTTGAAAGCAAAATTCTATTGGTCTCCTTGGATGTTTTATAGAGAGAAAGCGGCTGATTGATTGAGATAGTCGACCCTCTCAAAGATCAATTATCTATGATTTTAACCTAATTTCTGTCGTCGATATAGGTCCCAAAAGAGGCCCCATTTTACTTTGCTACATTTTATGCATTAATTATAAGAATGCGATGGTGTTTCTTATGATGGAAACTGACCTTTATATAAGCACTTAAAAGTAACAAAAGTAAAAAACTGCTGGATCACATTAACGAAATTTGTTCCTACCATTCAGCCATATAGCAGACACCATGGGCTAGCCGTTTGTCTTAAGGAAAGAACTCAATTATCCCATGCATAAGTATGGAAAAAGTTCATCATGCTTGATTGGGATGGCTAAACTAATTGCAGCCCCAAAAGGCATAATTTATACTAATTTGACCTAAGCTCCTAGGGCTGAACAAAGGAGCTTGAACTAGTGAAAGATTTGCTTGCAAGTCACCTTTGCTTTTTATGCTTTTTTTTTTTACTTAGTCGGAAAGCTTTTAATTGGAATATTTGAGCAATATTGTAGCTGAATACCCCACAGTTCCAGCTTATTCATTGAATCATGCCGACAATTGTGAATTATTTTAAAAGCTTCATGAAAGAATCAGAAACTTAAGCGGCTTTTGATCAGATAAAATACTCCTATTTAGATCAAACCAATGAATCAAGATATATGTGGTGCACGTTGTATATGCAAACCCAGCCAGGAATCCTTGTAAATGATCTGTAATTATATACTTCCTTCCTACTAAATTATATGGATACTGAGACTGGAGTAGGTCCTGTGAGCTTGAAACCACTAATCAAGTTGAAGTCTGGCTTTCAACTAGATCTTACCTACCAATATCAACTTGGATTCTCGGCTTTTAAGTGGGAAAGCCATACGTTAATGTAGTTCTTAAGGAAATGTTTTTGGAACCACTACATCTCTGTGGTTCGGAGCAATCCTATGGAATCAAATGACTCTTTGGGAATTGGGGGTTGGGTGGCGATCTATAGCTCAGATTCCATGAGGCATAAATAAATAGGATTGTTTGATTGATAACCATTTGAAAAGAATTTTGTTCTATAATCTGTGAATGAACATTCAACAACTCAAAGTACCTTCAATATATTTTCTTCCATCGGCCACGACCACATGCTCTGTGTGCTAAGTCCACATCTAAAGGGAGAAGATAAAAACTAGACAAGCTTTCTTTCCATTAGGAATACAGTTGTACTTGTGACAGGGGAAACAAAGCAAAAAAGAACAACAAGAGCATAACGTTCTGAAAATAACACATAGTTTTCATTATAGAAAAAGGTTTTCTGTCACAAACAGTAATATCAAATACAATACAATGGTTAAATCCACTCACCTCAAAGGCATTTTGCATCTTTTACAATACATGTACACCCATCGACAAGATTGTGAATTTGGAAATCAAGACGACTTCTCTCAATGAAATAGCATGTTAAATCTTCAAACACAAGAAAATGTTTCATATAGCATCGACAGAAAATATGGAGGATGACAAGGTGGGTTAGTTACCAATGCAAAGGCATTAGGTACCAATCCAAAGGCATGAAATGCCAACATCGCAACGTCCAAGTTCGTGCAAGGAGTTATTTGAAACAAGACGGATCAGCCATGATTCGTTTCATATGATGTCCATCCATCCCCGGACAATCAGGATTCTGGAGGCATTCATATCCATCCGGTTTTTCTGTGACTATTTGAAGAGCCCATCAAATTCCGAGTCGTATACATACAACTTTCCAAAAAATTCTTCACAAAATACCTTACTGGATTCTGAATAGACCCGTTACTCTGCATGCTCAATCTCAAATCCTCAGCAATTCCGCATTGAAACCTCTCAGCAGATGCATAAAGATTGGAGAGGAGCACAACTTGTTCCAGTTCCAATCCCCTTGAGTTTAGCTCAAATACCTTCTATGCGGCAAGTTCTGCCACCAGCACATTATCATGAAGTGCAAATCCACTGAGCAGTCGTTCCAAATATTTGGATCCATCTCCTCTAGAAATTTGCCATTAAATCCACCAGTGTCAGATAAACAGCCTGATCTCCTAAGCATGTCAAATTGGCTTGGTCTTTTTTTTATTTTCTTCCATTATCTGACTAAATATCATCAGAACATCCTTAATTAACACTGCATGACTACAAGCATTCAAAATGCACGAAGTATGATGCACCATCAGGATCTTCCCCACAATCATCTTATGGAAGAGGGCAAGAACTCCTCATGGCCATTGATTCCATAGCAATTTATTTCGCATTCCAATAAACTGCATCCTGAAGTTGACCCATCTCCTTAAAAAGCATATCAACAAGGTGGACAATTCCATTTCCACGTTTTGAATATATTGACGTGGGACTATTCTACTCTGATTTCTATTGGGAGAAACTAGCTGCAAGAGCATAACAATGTTGCTGCTGCAAAATTCTAGAGCAGCAAGCTCATCAGAAGCTGTTATAGCACTGACCAAGATAACAGCATCAAGGGAATAATTTTCTTCTCGTCTTTCCTTAGTCAAAAGATTCGAAGCCTCCCTCGGACTGCCACTGCTCTGCTTACATCCTTATATCGTTGTTGTCCACAAAACCAAAATCTTTGCGGTTGTTTGGACAAACATAGTTCAAGAAGAATCCCAATCAACACACTTTGAATGCATTGCAATGATGGAATTGCTTGGAGAAACTCTGATTAAAATCCACAAACAACAGCATGACCAATGACCATGGATTCGTCTTCCCCTCTTTAAATCTCCTAAAATTGCACGAGCCAAAAGGAAATTTGTTAGAACTACAGCACCAAGATTGACCCCGCAATCTCTCATCTTGGAAAAAAAAATTTAAAAGCATCATAAGCATATTCTAGGTAAAGCAATAAACCCATCATTGTTGTCCAGCTAGTAACATCTTTACATTCCTTCCCTTCAAAAAGCTTAGTAGCACCACTCAAATCTTCAAACTTGAACACGTAAATAACCGAGTTATTAACCAAAACATTCAAAGTGAAACCAAGCTTAACAACAAACCATGTGCAGATTCACAAGCATCATATTCTAGGTAAATCAATAAACCCATCATTGTTGTCCAGCTAGTAACATCTTTACATTCCTTCCCTTCAAAAAGCTTAGTAGCACCACTCAAATCTTCAAACTTGAACACATGTAAATAACCGAGTTGTTAACCAAAACATTCAAAGTGAAACTAAGCTTAAGAACAAAACATGTGCAGATTCACAAGCATCTTCATCTCTAAACCAATACAAACTATACTATGAGTGAAAAATGTAGCCTCGTTAGGCACCAGCCAAACTTCCTGAATCTCTCAAAAAGCAACATACCTTCTTCGCAAAACCCATTATTTATAAATCCTACTATAAGTTGCACTCCAAGAAACCAAACCTGGAGTCTTCAATTCAGGGACACTCTTTATACACACCAAGTCAGAAAAGTCTTCAGTTCTAACAAGTACTCCAAATAAGTTTGATAATTGGTAACCAAACTCGTTTTTCTCATTCGGTGAAACGAATTCATGAGTTTTTGGTGAATCCCATTTGTCGCATACCCGTGAATTGCAATAGCAGACGAAATTGTCTTTGATTGAGGCATTTAATCAAACAGTTTTTCACCATGAAATTCTACACGAGTAGAAGAGACTGATCCGGAGTTTTGAATAGTTAAATGAGGTAATGCTAGAACACTGACGTTCGCATGAAGCAGAGATGCAAAATAGTAAATGGGCTTCTCTGAATTTGCTTATAAACCATGTGAGTTCCAACTTCTAAGGATTAGTACTAAGGTACAACTGCATGGTATGTTGTTTGGAACCTGGACAGGTTTTCTGTCACTCTTGTTAAAACTCCGGTCTTGGGCCAAAATCTATACCTTTCTCTATGGGCTTATGGTGTATAATGGATGGGTAGATTTAGGATGACATAGTCCAGTAGCTTATCAATGTCCAAACCGGTAATTTTACTTATATTTTTTTTCGGTTTTGATTTTCAGGATATTTTTCGTCTAATATTTAGACATAAGTTCTTTTCCATTCAAATCTTATATAAACTAACAATATTCAAATTCACATATTTATTAATAATTTTTTTCTCAGTCTCTTTAGATTCAAACTCCAAAAAAAAAAAAAAAAAAAAAAAATTATGTAAAGCATAAAAAATAAAACCGCTTATTTTCGTATGCTAACACCTTAAAAATTCTAGTTTTCTTAATCTAAATTTAAAATCAATCGCATTTCAGAATATCAAGTTAATGCAGTTAGTTTGGATATCTAAATGTTGGAAATGATTAGCATAGTAGACGAAAAGACGAAAAATGACCTCAAAATATTGAAAGATAAGGGATTTTAAGAAGTAGACATAAACAAATTATGAATATTAGTGATCTAATTCTAATTATTTGGGTGTTGTTTGGCTATTGAAAATAAAAAATTTAAAATGAAAAAAAAAAATCAAAATTCTCATAATGTGTTTGGAATATTAATGAGGAATCGAAATTAAATTTAAATTTTTTAATATCTAATTTTTAATATGAATAAAAATAATGATTAAAAAAATAATTTTATAACTATAATTGCAATAAAAATAATAAAAGCTTACGGTGACAGTGATAAAAATAATTAATATACAATAAATAAAAATAATATATTATTATTTTGGAAAAAAAATTTATTTGTCCTTGTTTCTATTTTTTACATAGAAATAAAATTATGTATAATTTTTATTTTTATTTTCATTTAATTTCTTTTAATTAAATAATTGAAAATGAAAATAGTTCATTCTCATTCCTACTAAAGGATTCCTAACAAAAAAAAAAAAAAAAAGAAATAAATGATTAAGTTTGTGTTACCATCCATAATCCCAAACACATCTTATAAACATTGCCTTCTTTTAATTTGTAATAAAATTGGTGCAACAGAGCCACTTTTCCAACTTACACCAAGGAGGACGGATTATGGGAGAGAAAAAAAGATGTTAATCCATCTCTATAAACAATTAGCTTCCTTAAGAAGCTAAAAACAAAGGTTATACACTTAAAGATCATTTCTTTGTCGGTAACTTAATTAAGATGCAAGCACCTGTCCAGTGTCAAGCTATCAGCTCCTTATTAAGAAAGAAAACTGACAACTAACAAGAAGCGGTTTTCACACGGCCAGCCACGTATCTCCGTGGTTCCTCTAAACTCCCAACCGCCATGGCCTCCATTTCCTTCGATCTCAAGATTACGACAAAGCCTTAAAGCCCCCCTTAAATATCTCACTCTTTGTCTGTTCCGAAATTCAATCAAACCAAAAAAAGAATCGAACATTCTCTGCTATGTCATCTCCAAAGCGCAATTCTCTCTACCCGCAAGTCATCCTCTCAAACCCAGAAGCCATTTCTGCTACTTCAACTTCTACTTCATCCTCTTTGTATCCTACTATTGACATGAAAGACTTGGAAGAGAATCTCTTCTCTGAAGAAGATAACAACAAGAACGAGGTAGTTTCACCACCGGGTTCAAACACTGAACCCCATGAAGAAATCTTGATCAAAATCCCGGGATCAATCGTTCATTTAATTGAGAGAGATCATAGTGTGGAACTGGCTTGTGGGGACTTCTTTATAGTGAGTCTCAAGCAAGGTGAAACTGTTGTTGCTATTTTTGCTCGTGTAGGTGATGATATTCAGTGGCCTTTGGCTAAGGATGAGGCAGCAGTTAAACTTGATGAATCACATTACTTCTTTACTCTTCGTATACCTAGAAATGAATGGGATGGGGGTGAATTAAATAAGGGAGAAGTTGAGTTGTTGAATTATGGATTAACTTTTGCATCGAAAGGACAAGAGGGTTTGTTGAAGGAGTTTGATAAGATATTGGCATGTTATAGTTCGTTTTCTGTTCAAGAAGTAAAGGATAGTGGAGGTAAGTGGGGGTAATTGATCGGAATGTAGCGAAGGAGATGTCGCCGGATGAGTTAGAGAAGAATAAGGAATTGATGGAGAAGAATTCTGCCGCGTATTGGACAGTGTTGGCTCCTAATGTAGAGGATTATAGCTCATGTGTTGCTAGGATGATTGCGGCTGGGTCAGGGCAATTGATTAAGGGGATTTTGTGGTGTGGAGATGTGACGGTGGATAGGTTGAAGTGGGGTGATGGGTTCTTCAAGAAAAGGATTCATAAGAGTTCAGATTCAGATATTAGTCCAGGGACTTTGAGGAGGATCAAAAGGTTTGTTTTTCAACATTGATTGTTGGTTTAATTTCTGATTTTTGGGTTTCACTTCGAATTTGTGCAATTTTATCTATTTAGTTTTGCTATTTATTTAAGAAAATTGACTATTAGGGTAGGTTGATCTTATAACAAAAGCAGCATGCTCTTTGAATTTTGGACTTGCATAAATAATTTTTGATATGCATATTTGTGCTATCTCTGAATTTTAAAGATGTAAAAATGACTTTTAATATGGTTGTTTCCCCTCTCTGGTTTGTGTATTCAATATCAATCAGTGAGTATTGAACTACAATTTTATGTTGGGATATTTGCAGGGTTAAGAAGTTGACAAAAATGTCTGAGAAAGTGGCTGTTGGAATTCTTTCTGGGGTTGTGAAAGTCTCTGGATTCGTTTCAAGTCCAATTGTGAATTCTAAAGCGGGCAAAAAATTTTTTAGCCTATTGCCTGGAGAAATTGTTCTTGCTTCCTTGGATGGATTTAGTAAGTGATTCATTCCCAATTGTTTGGTTTATTTTTTCTCAATTTGCGTGGTTGCTGAACTTTAATCTGACTCACAATACTGTTTCCTTCCCGTGTCACTCGTGTGATTGTGCAGATAAGGTGTGTGATGCTGTTGAAGTTGCTGGAAAGAATGTCATGTCAACCTCGTCGGTTGTGACAACTGGACTTGTCTCGCATAGGTACATGTCAATCTAACATAAAAAGTATATGCTCCACTTGAATCATCGTATCACGATTACCTTTATCCTTGATTCAGTTGCTTTCATTCAAGGTATTGTAATGTTTGCTGGCAAGATGGAGTTAAAATTTGTGGTGATTATGTTCCTCTGTAGTGGAATCTTTATGTTTCTGTGAGTTTTCTAGTTGCTTTAGAGACAGGTCTTTTTCCACTCATCTGGGTATCGGGCCAGCAATGGCATATACAAAATCTTATCTTAATCTGATGCCATTTGTCAATTTGTATTGACGTAGTGTTTGTTAATGTGCTTTGGCAGGATAGACTTGGATTAGATTTGATACAGTATATAGTCTTAAATCGAATAATTAACTTTTCTGTGATTCTACATGAGCACGCATTTGATGTCATGATTGGATATTTCCTTTACAGATACGGAGAAGAAGCAGGAAAGGTAACACACGAAGGGCTTGATGCTGCAGGACATGCTATTGGCACTGCTTGGGCTGTGTTTAAGATAAGAAAGGCTCTTAATCCAAAGAGTGTCTTCAAGCCAACAACTATTGTAAAAGCTGCTGCAAAGGCAAACGCTGCTAAAATGAAGGCTAATAATACAAGTAAAGGCTAAAGTCTACTGGTCTTCTTAGGTTGTTTTGTTTTTTGATCTGTTTATGGGAAGAAGGGCTAGGAAACCCCACAAGGCTTCTTTTGAACTTGTAAAGGCTAAGGGATCTTTGGTAGTTTGTCAGGGAATGCAAACCTGTAGTTGTTTGTGTTGATGTTAGTCGCTTATCTTATGGATGATTCAAGGAATCAAGTTTTGCATCTTCTTCGTTTCTTTTTCCTTAGCCTAAGCAATGGTTTCTCTTGCATATATTTTTAATGTTGTGCGATAGCCTAACTGCTTGAGCTAGTACATCTTTTAAGGATGCGCCAAGTTGAACGAGGGTTCAGCCTTAAATTACACTTGATCAAATAAGAGGTATTCGGTGGTTGACTGGAGGGAATCTGTGTCTCGAATATTTTTTAGATTGAGAAAGATAAACATTTCAGTCCGTGCTGGACTCTTGCTGATACAACTTGACGAATATATGCTGCTACCAAATTCCCTTCTTGAAATGCATGCTACTTTCATAGGCCATATCGCCATAGCTCTCTCTCTCTCTCTCAGTAACTAGTTTTAAATGGCTTGTAAGTTTTGAGATCCAACACAACCCCAGCAACAGAGCCAACAGCTGCAGCTATGGTGATCATGAGGCACGCAATGCTGAGAATCTGAAGCCCTAGCCACTGGCCTGTCCATCGCCCAACCTTCTTCTGACAAATGTACATCTCGATGGGAAAGAAAACTGTCAAGGGCCAGAATCCCATGGCACCGAGGAGTCCAACAATATCATTGAAGAAGGGCAGGAGCATGGCTATTACAGTTGTCAGCAGAACAAATATGGTTCTCCATACTAGCCGGAAAAAGTTCAGCTGGTAAACGCCGTAAAAGGGGATGGGTATCTCATACTCTGCTGTCACAAAATCGCTCTTTGGCCACTTGCGAGCACTCCATTTTTCCACAAATGCAAACAATGGCTGGCAAAACACCTGCAAGTGCACCATGGAAAAATCAACATGACACCTGAATCTTGTCATAAATTCAGAACTTGTAAAGTCGTTACTGCTTGAAATACCAGACCTGATAAGCACCAACTAGATGAACAACGATAGCAACATTAGCAATGTCTAATAGCCAGTAGGGGTTGTAGAATCCAAAGCCAGTCAAAAGATTTCCAGGGGCCATATCACCAAAAGCTGCATAGCCCATGCATCCACAGAGTAAGTAGAAAACTGTCGTTGTACCGATGCTAAATAAAGTTGCTTTCTTCATAGTTTTGTGTTCTGCAGGTGGAGATCTTATTGTATCCTGAAAATGAAAAGGCAAGCACAGGCATCAATTGTTAGACAACTAAATTTACCCTTAATGATTGTTCCATAAAATGTCGTCGAAGTATTACCTGAATTTCAATGAGGATCATGGAAAATGAATAAGCAAAGGCAGTAGCTCCAAGAGCTTGCAGACTTCTCCATAGTTTCTGTGTAGAAGTAACTCTTCCAGCATGCGTTTCCGTCCCGATACTGATACCAGTCAGGCTTCCTTTGAAGGTTCCATTTCCTGCAAACGAGGGTGCAGAGGTATTGTTTAAACTTCATTATATACACAATTCAACTTCCTATGCACGTGCTAAGTGTTTCCATTTCATATCTTTGCTGCTGAAGTAATTTTTAGCTCTGTTCTGCTTCAGTAAATAATAAATGATGCGATAATCAGAATCATAATAATCTAATTATTTTTTGCCTACCTGCAACTTTTCCAATACCAAGACCCAAACCAGCTGTAGAATACGTGAAAGACATAATAGCAGCAACTATAGAAAGCCACCATACTTGATCAAAGTCCGGTATCTGAGAAAACAAGATCTCTATGATTCCAAATGTTATCATATACCCATTGCTTGACATATGGCATGGATCTTTTCCTCCACTTCTGTGGAAACAGTTGGATCTCTTTATTGCCCTAAAGTAAAACACAAAAATATCTCTATTATTAATGGTTATTGCTCACACATTAACATTCATTACAAGTAGAGTAAATACGAAATAGGTACCTAAAGGGATATGTAAGAAAATAATACGAAACTCACATCATGCTGACTGATGCTGCAATAGTATAACCAATAGCAACTCCAAACAAATTCAAGTATTGAATCAATCCACATAACGTCACCTTCCGTCCTCCTGCAGCCGACACAAAGATACTTTCACCGTCTTGATCATTGTTACACTGACGAAATTTATCCAGCGGAAAATGATCGGAGTATATTGTTACCTAAGAAAGATTTGACAGCATCCATGTAGGTGTAATTTCTCTGTCCCGTGACAGGGTCGCCAGCCCTGTAGCACTGTGCTAGTAGATTCGAAGTGTAGAGATTTACAAAGGCAAATAGGACCATAACAGCCGGTCCAGCAACCCAACCGAGCTGCGCTATGGCCCAAGCCAACGATAGGACTCCTGATCCTATAACAGCAGTAATTATGTGCGAAGAAGCAGTCCAGAAATTTCCTGCATCATCAAATTTTTAACCCTTACTCGACGAAATTAAGCAAGCGTCCAAGGAGTAGGAAAATCATCCAAGTTCACACGCAATATTTTTGATATTGAAGAAACCGTTTAAATTACCTGTTCTTTTCAAGCGGCCATCATCATCAAAACACTTTGAGTAATTGGATTGAGGGTTGATAGCTTCACTCTCACTAACTTTAGGTTGGACTTCCACTTGTAAGTAGTGCCTGATATCTTGCCTTTCTTCCACCTGAAACATTGAAGGACACTCATATGAAGTGTAAAGATTCAAAATATTAGTGTTTCCAAAGAAGAATTGAAGTGTATAGCTCATTTTGATCACAACTTACCACTCCATGGTGGATTCTGCTAGGAAGAGTTCGGCTCCTAGGCAACATGGTTCTGAAAAAACAGAAATGCAGAAAGAAAAAGAGGGATCAAAAGGATTGGTGCAACTAGTTGAAGGTGTTTCGAAAAATGACAAAGTAGGAATAGAAGGCAAAGAGAGATGGAGGGTGATTGATGCTACAAAATATGGACAGATGGGCTTTATATAAGAGAAAATAATGACATGAACAGCAACTATAATGGGATTAAAAGTGGTGCCACTCGCGTTGTGAAGAATCATGTAACACGCCCCCTTCTTAGTGCATGTTCAAACATCTCCTATAGATTTTGAATCAAAATGGCAACAGTACTATAAGTTCACTATTAGAGATTCCTAGTTTCACATAGCCTACTTTTGTAATAATCACAACATGCACAATTGTTGAGTCTTGAGTCCTGGCCTTCAGGGTCCTTGCCCACTTGAGATTTATGTGGATGTTTAGAAAATTAAGGCAATGCTGCTGCCTCCTTGCATACTGTGAGTTATGACATCATGAGAAGGCAGATTAAGGCCTTAAACATCAAGAAAATATCTCTAAGCATCAACAAAAGGTTAAGCATGTCCAACAATTCAAGAGTAACAATCTGCTTTGGCAAGGAAGTAAGCATGTTTTGATAGAGTTGTTCAAATCTGCTAGATTATGCTCTAGTGATTACTTGCTAGGGGTTCGACATCCTAATGCATAGAAGGAAAAAGATTGGAAGCTGGTAAAATTTCAGAAAATTTTAATTTTTACATCCAAGTTAATTTTTTTTTTATATAGTTTTAGTTTTTTTTAGATATCCTCATCCTACATTAAAGATAGGACTAATCATATTCGAAACAACAACAAAAAAAATTAAATATTTCTCAACAAATACAATTTTAGAATTCAAACCCCATGTATTAAAAGAAAATTGATCCGAGAACCAATTCGTTTATTACTGAACTAACAACTTATTAGTTATAAATTAAAATTATAAGTAGGTAAGAATTTTACTTTTTCATATTAAGATTGAATCAAAATAGCTAAAAGGAGAGCATAAAACCACCTAATCTCGTGTGCCTCTCATACAGTATATATTCTTGCATTAGTAACTAGAGAAAAAAAATTGCAAGTGTCTGAATAGATTATCAAGATACTGAAACGAGATTAAAACAACTCGAGGAGAGTGTTGTAAATAAAATAAAAATGTAAGGATGTTCCTGTGCCCTAGATGCTGATAAATATACAATTGCTGTAGTTACTACTATGCAATCATTGGGTTAAAAAAACAAGTTAGGTTAAAGTACATATTGGTCTCTCTGTTTCACAATGCTCCTGACATCAGCAGAATGACAAGTGGACGCTAATTCAATAGCTTCTACTGTCAGGATGATCACGAGCATTTTCTATAGAATTTTGCTGATGTTTCCTCTCTCTCTCTTTTTTTATTATTTCCACTCCCTGATGCTTCCTTGTCTTAGAAAGGTGAGTTCTAATTATTGAGGTAGGTGCTAAGGTACTTCTATTTATCCTCAAGCTGTCAAATAACCCAAAACAGCTTCGTTTTGGTTTCACTGTAGCTGTAGCTTAGCTACAGTGAAACCCCATCCCATCTTCTTTTAATATATGTTATAATTATGGGTCATTTCTAAGGTGATACATTATTGACGTTATCTTTTTTGATACTCTGGTGAGATCGTAAATAATAATAATAATACTAAGAAATAGACTAATGGATTTCTCCCATATATAATTGTTTGAAAAATTATACATCCAAGAGGACACCTGATCAATTTTAAAAATAACATAATTTAGCTAAAGAGATATTGCTTCGAAGGGGTTGGCTTAGAAGAAGACTTATTCAGTAGGTTCTAGATTCCATTCTCGTCACTAGTTGTTTTGAGAGTTTGACATATTTATATTATTTTAGTATAAAGTTACCTTCAATTTTTTTCTTGATGTAAATATGATGATCTCTCCATATATATCCGTGTGTGTTTGTAATTGTGTAGTTAACGACACGTGCACAAAATTTAATTGAAAATGACATCGTTTAACTCACACCGTCGCTTAGGATTACGATTAACTAACTAAATAGTGTCATTTAAATAACTTTAATTATCATTTAGAAGAACCTCCAAGAGCCTTGCAGTCGGCAAAATGTGAAGCACGAAACCATCCATAATAATGGCTTCTTTTGTTTCTTTCCTCTAGTGGATGGTAGTTACGGTTTCACACTTCCTTTTCTTTCGATTGGAAGTGGAAACACCATCTTCAATTCTCCAATAAAGGGCATGATCTTAATCTTTTTGTGAATTTAATTTTCATTCAAGGACGTCGGCATTTTAGTACTATAACCATTGATGGGTTTTGCTTCTTATAAAGTTGGAGTCTTCTTCTGTGTCAACGACTAGACATCTCCAAAGAGCCACATTACAGGTCTTGTTTGCTTTGATTGGAGTTTGGCCCCAACAATGCTTGCTGACTCTCTTGCCACGATCAACAGCTTCCAATGCCCTAGCTATTAGCACTCTCTAAAATTATATTACCTACCCTACCTTCTATACTTGAAAATTATATTCTTCGAAAATATTATTTTAGGTTTGAAAAATAAATTAACAGGTTAAGTTTTTTAGATAGAAAATATATTTTTAGAAAGTTTTTCTAATAATTCCCCCTTTCTTGCAATCTGAAATTATCGAATGAGGATGGAGAGGGAAATTTTGGTCATTTTAGGTGGCTAAATTCTTCGATCAGACCGACTAGAAAACAGGATATTATCATTTAATTATTAGCTGCATGAATATGGGCAACATATTGTCGTTCCCTCCTCGCAGAATGGTACAAGTTTTTCAAGTTATCAATAATTTTTCCAACTTGCTTGACTTAGCACCAATACAGATAGATAAACATAGCTAACTTGATTAATTAAGTAATTAAGTACTCAACCTTTATGCACCTTCTACTTGCTCATTGGCTCAGAGAGGTCTAAAGCTGGTCAGTTTTACAGCAAAGAACAATATATATATATATATGTGTGTGTGTGTGTGTGTGGATCTATTTAATTCAATTGGTTTTCGAATGAAAAATCCATATCAAACAAAAACATTTCTGAATCTCTAACAAAATCTTTGAAAATTTCAAAATTCTCTCAAATAATTTAATTCATATTCATTCACCAATTTAAAGGAGAAATTATTAGATATCCCAATCCATTGTTCCCCTACTTGTATAAAAGCAAAATTCATAATATAACTATTTTCAAAAAAAAAAAACCATATTTTGACGTGAGTGGAGGATTAATAGTCCATGAACACGAATAATTACTCAGATTTAAAGTTTAGAAATAAATCGAAAAAACAACAAAGCCCAACATATTACAAAGATCTGGACCGAGCAGTAGAAAGACATAGCCCAATCACGTTGCCCATAAAAATAAAAAACAATTGGGCTTCAAGCCCTAAAATGAAGAATAAAGTTGCCAAAACAACATCGTTTTAAGCCATAACTAGTCACAAGTGACTTGTCCTCTAAGTCGAATTTTTGCTTCGTTTATTAAAAAACCCAGCAGATCTCGCACTGAAAAAAGCAAAGCAAAGCAAAACCCGAATTTTTTAAAAAAGAAAAGGCAAGCAAAAACAAGAGAGAAAACTGAAGCATAGCTATGGCTCGATACGATCGTGCAATCACAGTGTTTTCACCAGATGGTCATTTATTTCAAGTAGAATACGCTCTTGAAGCTGTCCGTAAAGGAAACGCTGCCGTTGGTGTTCGTGGTACTGATATTGTAGTTCTTGGCGTTGAAAAGAAATCCACTGCTAAACTTCAAGATTCTAGGTAATTTTACTTTTTTCTTGATTTTTAAATTCTGGTTTTTGTTTGTTTTTACATTTGTGATGAAACGGCGAGAACTTTTTTTTTTAGGGGAAAATTGAGGTTTAGGGTTTAATTGGGGTTTGATTAGTGATTGATTTATGGTTCAGTTTTGATTTGGTGAATTTGATTGGATTTTAATTGGCATTATTTACTTGTATCCACTGTGCTTTGCCTTGTTTATATGGTGTTTGAACTGTTAATTACTCGATTAGTTCATATATGTATCGATGGGGATTGTCAAAATAAGTTATTTTGCTTCGACGTTGATGTGTTTGAATTTGGTATTATAAAAATCTTGAAATAACTGTAGATTTCTAGTTAATGACCTTGAGTGGGTCTTCTTACTTCAAATCTTTTATTTTGTGTAACGTTGCCGTAAAATTTGATATGGTTTTGTATAGTTCCTCGTAATTTGGTTTATATTGGTGTCCAGAGCTTGTCTGCATTGTGAAGATTGTCGTTCTTGTTGTTAATTAGGGTTGTGTGATTTTGGGCTGATTGGTATTGTCTTTGTTACAGTATCTAGTGTCTAGTTCTGTGTTCAATCTGATTATCTGTGTGAATGTTATGTAATGTTTTTGCTGGTTATGTTTGCAGATCGGTGAAGAAGATTGTGTCTTTGGATGATCATGTAGCACTAGTGTGTGCTGGATTGAAGGCAGATGCACGTGTCTTGGTTAACAAGGCTCGGATTGAGTGTCAAAGCTATAGACTTACTGTTGAGGATCCTGTAACTGTTGAATATATAACACGTTACATTGCTGGTTTGCAACAGAAGTATACACAGAGTGGTGGTGTGAGGCCATTTGGTCTTTCGACCTTGATTGTTGGTTTTGACCCACACTTAGGTGTCCCAGCTCTTTACCAGACAGATCCTTCAGGAGCATTCTCAGCATGGAAAGCCAATGCTACCGGGAGAAATTCGAACTCAATGCGGGAGTTTTTGGAGAAAAATTATAAGGAAACTTCAGGGCAGGAAACTGTGAAGTTAGCAATCCGTGCTTTACTTGAAGTAAGTTGCTTCCTTTTATCTAGGTGTACGTTTGAAAGTATTTGTAACAAATTCCCTGAGCGTGCACAATCTTCCTTAGAATTGAACTTGTGTTCAAGGTGGATTAAATGTGCTCCATTTACAGTTGATAAGACGCTGCTTAGTATTTCTTTTTTAGAGCTTATAGTAGCTGGCATTAATATTTGATCATCATTTGATTTGACTGTAAGTTATTAATTGGTAAAAGGTCATTACAAGTTCATAAGATATATATAATACAAATTGAATTGGTCCCCACATCATTGCAAATATAGTTGGTGTATAACCAAGTATCATAGAAAGGATTGGTAACAAGCCTTTGCTATACAGCCGCCATGTGTGCAGCTTATAACATTGTTGGTTTGGTTCAACCTCTCTGCATGAATTGCTACCTTACTTGGGCGACACTGACATGATGCTTGTTTAGTTAAAATATATGTATTTTGTGCCATTGCATTTACTCCTTGCCCCATTGTCAATGGTGTTTTGAGAGCTTAAGCTTTTACATGCTGAAGCTTCTTCTTAAACTATCTACAGAAGACCTTTTTATGTTTCTTTTCTTGAAATTTAAGCTGTTTGGCTTGAGTATGCATCATTTCATCGATTGACATTCTTTGAGAGCCAACATGGAGAAGGAAAGAGGAAAAGAACAAAAGAGGTTGAACCAAACCATAGGTAACCTATGTTGGTGCGTTCCTCTCTTTTTATTAACAAGTCTCTTGGCTCCAACATCAGTAATTAAAGCACTTCTCTATTTGAACGTTTAAAGGAAGCATGCTAGCAACTTAAAACTGTACCTATTGTAGACCACCATTCCACATGTAACCTCTGTTAGTTTTGTATTTTTTAGGTTTGTCTACAATTTTTCAACAGTCACCAAGAAATCATTATACTTGCCTGTTTCTTACCTGTATTTACCTTTGCTATCTCTTCCTTGGAATATTAGGTTGTTGAGAGTGGGGGGAAGAACATAGAAATTGCTGTGATGACAAAAGATCAGGGGCTGCGGCAGCTTGAAGAAGCTGAGATCGATGCAATTGTTGCTGAGATTGAAGCAGAGAAAGCAGCAGCAGAAGCTGCAAAGAAGGGTCCACCAAAAGATACCTAGTCTTGCTGTAGTTCTCATACATCACCTCGTACTTTCAGAGTGATTTAGTTTCACATTTGTTTTCTTCATTTGTCAAACTGCACCTGTTCTCAAGACTCTTCCAGCCTTCCTTTTTGCGTTTCTCCTCTTATAGCCTCTCATTTGACATGGTCACAAGTGCTTTCTGTTTATTAGTAATATCGAACATGTTGAATCTTGCTATTTTCAAAAGGCTGCTGAATTTGGTACTTCATATAATACTCTTACACTTAAAATCTAAAAGGTTAATTTTATCAATTGGGTTCCCAAACTGTTAAATATTTTTCAATTGAGTTCCCTGTCTATAGTTTAGCGACTGTTAGCTATTAAGAATTAAGAAATTTGACTTTCCATTAACATCTTTAAACTGAGAGGAGGAAAGTAGAAAAGGATGGTAATTGATTTTCTATGGTTGGTTCAAGAAAAGGAAGGGAAAACGATTTTATTTACTTATTTATTATAATTATAATTATAATTATTTTATTTTTTTTGGAGAAAATGGCCTAGTCTGTCTTTATATAATGGAGTTAGTGTTTAATTTATTTTTATATCTTAAATGAGCTATGCAGTCTGTTTTAATGTTTTAAAATGAGTTAATAATGTCTTTGTATTTTACTTTCTGTTTTTATATTGTAAAATGAGCTAATAATGTCTTTGTATTTTAAATGAGTTTTAAATTTGTCTTGGACATTTTTATTGAAAGACAGATTGAAAATTTACTTAAAATGCAAAGTTATAATTGAATTATTTTATAATATAAGGACATCTATTTTTCTTTTTTGCTTGGATATATAGATGGAAAAGAAAGGAAAACAACTAAACATTATACTTTTTTATTATTATTACTCTAATTTTATCTATAACTCCAACCATATCAAGTTGTTTTTTATAGAAATTTTAGAAAAAAATAGTTACAAGCATCGGTATATATTTATGCAGCTTAAGCTTTGTGATAGCCAAGAAAAAAAATTCCAGTCAGTTATAAAAGACTTAAAAAGGGGCGTATTTCTCGTATATCTTAAAGAATATGGAGAAAATCGTATCATTATTATTTCCTTTGTTTCCTCTGCAGAGGAAAATTTTTATGCATAAAAAGGGAAGCCAGATTTATTTCCCTCCTGTTCCCTTTCTTTTCTTTCTTTTTTATTCTCAACTTTGTCATACAAACAAAGGAAACAAAGGAAAGAAAACATACACATAACCCATTGTATTAAAAAAAGAAATAAAGCAAACAATCCACAAGATGACAAGAATCTAGCAAGAATACGACAAGACATTAGGCAAGGGGAAGTTTAAGAGATGTTTTGTGTTGGTTTCCTTACAAACATAAGGGTTGGTCATGCTAATCAAATTCACTGGATCAGAAGTTGAACGTATTTTTCTGGAAGCAGAGCACTTTTTTCGTTTTTTATTGGATTTTTCATCCTTCTTCCACGTTGGTTAGGTTTTGGGCTCGCCCCTTCGGCAACCATGTATTACATACCAAAACCATATGTTATAATATTATGCCTTTTCTGGCCCAAATGCGTTGGACTATTTAAGAAACAGGACTTTCTTTCTTTTTCTTTCATTTCTCCCACCTTTATAGCCCTCTTTCATCCTCTTTTCCTGTCATTTCTCCCTCTTTTAAAAAATTATCACATTACAAAAGAATGCTAGAGCAATTCTTTATCTTTATTTAGGTAGTTAATTCAGTTCATCTTGGTAATATAACTTCATTATTCTGCTAACTTCTAACTAATAATGCTAGCTTATTGACTGCTTAACAATTGATTGTAAACAGCAAAATCTTATCTATACATTTAAAAAAAATAAATAAATAACATGTCATTCAAAAGTGATTTATTAAGCCCAAAACTCTCTGTAGCTTACAGGTACGTCCTAATTTCCCAATGATGCAAAGAGAGAATTATAACTATAACCTAAAAAAAAAGGTGATATTAGAAGAATGGTGGTTCCAAAGCACAGAGTCTGTTCTCCACCCAGAGGATAAACAAGCCATGAAGTCATTGACTTTCAAAATACAAAAAAATATTTTAAACATCACATTCGACCCAGACAAAGGTTACATTTTACAGTAGTATTAAAATCCCAGCAAACCTAATCCCACACGTGATTGCGTTTCTACTAGAAGTTTTCTTCCAAAATAGGGCAACAATTTCAAACCCTACGCATGTTTTGGAGATCACAATCACGACTTTAAGCCTCCCATGATCAATGGCAATCGAGTTCGGTGACACTTATGTTGGCAGATTCATTGCTTTCCTATTTCTTCTTCCTCTATTTTTTTCCCCCTTGAATAAAATTATAAATGCCTGTGAAATCATTTTGTTATTATAAAATTCATCCTCAGTCATTCGTTTTTTTATATTGGCATTAAAGTTTAATTCTTCTCCGGAATCATGTAAATATTACTTTGAATATTTTTTTTAATTGTGAGGGGTTGCATAACATATGAAAATAATTTAGGTATTTGAGTGATATATATAAAAAAAAAATGAGTAAAATAAGATAAGACAAAAAAAAATGAAAATTTGAGGAAAAAAACACTAGCATAGCAAAAAAAACTAATAAATAATGAAATTATTGGCAAAGTTAAAACATAAAAAACTAAATAATTAGTTTTAAAAATGATATTTTATAATATGCAATGGTTAAAAAAAAAAAAAAACTGTAGTAATGCTGACTAGTAAAAGAAAAAAATAATAATAATTACATCATTGACTGCCAGTGCTACTAAAGCATCTGCCTCTCTGCCTACTAGAGGCTATGGAAGCTCATTACATCATTGACTTCCAAAATACAAAAATTCAACTCGAACTCCGTCATATTCTCCACGAAAAAAGTCATTAGAAATTTACTGGAAGTTTAGAGTAAATATATTAAAATCTCTGCAAACCTAATAATAACCCCACACGTGCTTAGTATTTTACTAGAAATTTAACACCTTTCAGAATGGGGTAACAAATTCAACCCATGTATGCATGTTTTGGAGATATCAATCACGACTTTAAGCCTCCCATGTTCAGAGGGCAATCGAGTTCGGTGACCCCTTGTGTTGATTGCTTCTTATTTTTTCCGTAGAATTATAATAATGCCTGTGAAACCATTATGTCAGTATTAAATCCATCTGCTATAATTCTTCGAATTCTGTCTAATCAGTTCGTTGATGTTGCCCATATAGTCTAACCAAAACAACCTTGAATTTAGGATTCTCACATGATTATTGTTATTTTTTTTCCCTTTTCTAGGATGAATCCCATATTCGTTATTTTACTGCTAGTTAAGAAGAAGAGTACTTACGAGGTGCTGGTGGTCGGATGGGAGTAACCACCCTTAGGCCCAACTTGTTCTCCACTGCCATAAGACTCGTAACAAACTTCTCGAGGATGGGCCTGCGATTATTAGGCCAACAGCTCAAGAGATGGCCGATGTGGGAGTTAGTGGCTACTGATAAGTGTTAAACCTTATGTGAATATTTGCATTAACTCAACCGTTTCAACCAATTACAAGTATCTTGATTACATATGATATTGCTTTGATTTTTTTATTTTTTTTTAGTTTTTAATCGTGCATGTTTGTCTAGCATAAGAAAATGAGTCGGTATTGTATCATCAAAGAGCAGTGAAGTATGAGATAAAGAAAAAAGAAAAAAAAACAGTGAATTATATACAAACAGAAAGTCAAAACTTTCCACCTGAATCATGAAACTCTAGGAAAAATATTGGACATTATAGGTTTTTTTTTCTTTAACAATCATATTTTTCTCAAATCAGATTTTATGTGTCGAAATTAAATGATTTTTTATTCCAACTTTAAGCAAATTATTCATACTATAATTAGCTAGCACATTCACGATGATTTTTTTTTTTTTTTTGGTATACCCTTAAAATGGCGATTTTGTTTTTTTAAGGGTTGACTTTGTAATTCTAAGAGATCACAGTGAATGTCCTATACAGTGGCAATTGTCCCAAGTTGAAGAACAGGCAGCTGGTAGCCAAAAGTCTTTTTAAGGTGATGCATCAATAGAGTTCATAAATGCATCAATTAAATGTATAATTTGAGCATAATTTATTTTGATAATTAACAAATTAAGAAGAATTTTGTATACGTCCATAAAAAACTTACCAACAATTTGTTGCTCCAATAGTAAGTAAGCTGGTTTTGATATAAATTTTTTTGAGAATGTGCAAAGTTTGAATCCTTAAGTTACAATTGTTAGAAGGAGTTAAATCTCATTACTCTCGCCTCGAAAGTGATTAGTTATATCTCGAATGTGAGATGAGAATGTATATATATATATATCTTTAATTAATTTTAAATAAAATATTCATATGTTGTTGGTCCAAGTAATAAATAAGTTGGTTTTTATACGAATTTTTTACGAATATATAGAATTCGAATTCTAAAGTTACAATTATTAAAATGAATGAAATCTTATTATTCCCATCTGGAAAAAGATTAGCTCTATATTGAATCCTAGGGTGAGAATATTTGAGTAAAAAAAAATCTTTTTGATTAATCTGAAATAAACTATCCATGTGAGAATTTTCCTTTTTTCAAAATATCTTTTGACATAGCTAGCAACAAGCTAATTATTTCATTGTTAAATCTAGCATAACAGTTTTCCAATGGTAAATATACGGTAAACACTATTTCCCTATGACTTTGTAATTCTAAGAGATTAAATTCCAATGTTTGTGGTGCCCATTTGTCTTAATCTGCAGAATCAGAGGCAGGTAGCCAAAATCTATAGCCATGAAACTTTTAACACGTTAATAGAGTACACAAATGGCATCGATTAAAACGGTCCATTCTGAACATAATTTATATTAGCTTCGTGGACGAAACAGAGACCTTGACAAGAGGGATTTTTTAAAAAAAAAAAAACTGGCAAATAATGCAAGGAGAATTTTTTTCATAGCTAAAGTTTACGTGGCCAGATTTGAGCATAATTCGTCCACCTTCTTGGAAGACTTGAA